AAATAAGCTAAGTATAGAGGAAAGAGCCACTTGCTGAATGAGCCAATTAGAGACAGAGTGCAAAGAACCAATGAGCTCAACTTACAGTTAAACATCTCAGAAAAACTTTCCATTACATCTCTGAATATCAGGCTGAATCTAAGTTGATGTTCAGCTGTATTTGCAATGGCATTATTCACATTCCCAGTCATGATCCATCTGTTATTGACCTAGAGAACTTTTTGTGAAGGGCTGATTTCTCCATAACTACGACTCACCAAATTTGTCTACTGACAGGGAAACTTTGACAGGTCCTTTGTGGACTAGATGACTCAAGTGAATTGAATTACCAAATGTATTGGACATTGCTGGATCTCATTGAGAATGCAAGTGTTCACTATGAGTTGGAATGCCTACCATCCAAACTTGCTGCTCTATCCTTTATAAACCCAGGGACCACTGTCCTGCCCCCTTGGTTAGAAGTGCCATCAGTGTACAAAGTGCAAAATGCAACCTTGTTCCTAGAGGCGCATTTCCCAGATAACTAGGAAAGAGGTTGAAGAAGAAAAGCTATAAAAGTGCAATTATTTGCATTGATAAATATTTTGTTAGTTGAATAAAGTCCTTTCCAATTATTGGTGCCAGGATGATTCAGTGACTACTAAGATATATTTTATTAAGAAACGTTTTAGAACTCTGATTTTGAAATCTACTGATAAGCTACAAAACCAACAGTAGTGATGGGTAAAAAGTTTTTCAAATATGTTGGGTTTGGGAAAACTCCAAGCATGTTTTTTGAAGCACTTTCCCCTTCAATTTTTTGAGCCTATGTACATATTAGAGGTAATTTAATCCTGACTCATATGTAAATCATCATTGTTTTGTAAGACCTATCTGATTTCCAAATAGAATAATATTTATTTATGTTTTTATTTGCCTATTTAAATATACATACTTTTTTACAGAAATTATGAACATACCAATGTTTTAAATTTGGCTTAATCTTTATGCATTCCAAATTCAATAAACTACTGTTTATTCAACATCCAAACACCACAGACTTGAAAACTGATATGAACACACCAATGTTTTAAATTTGGCTTAATCTTTACGCATTCCAAATTCAATAAACTACTGTTTATTCAACATCCAAACACCACAGACTTGAAAACTGAATAGTTTTCAGGATTTTATTTTGTAGGAAAGTAGACATGCTGATATAAGAAATTTTTCCCCTCAATTTTCATTGTTAGTGCAGATTCAAACACTATCTAAAAACTTCTAAGACAAGAAATGACAATTAGTAATTATGATCAGTACTCTTGATTGTGACTTTAGATTCCTAAAGTAATTCATTGATTTACTTTTGCTTTCACTTATTCATTTGTGTATACAGTGAACGTTTATTAACTGCCAGTTAAAAAAGATGCAAAGGTAAACCAGATATGGTTTTTGGTTTTGAGAAACCATTTTTGTGAGGAAAATAGATATGCATAACTAATAATAATAATAATACATTTAAATAAATAACTAAAGTGATTCAAAGTAAGATTAAACAAGTTTAATTCAAATGACTTTTATTATATTCTAGTTTTCTGAAGTTTACTTAAATGAAAAATTCAATTAGATTACCCAGTATCCCAACCATCCTGGAAAAATGAAATTTGATGTTAAGTTTTTCCATTTAACAGAAAACAACAAATACTTGTAACAAAATTATAGCCAAATATTTAAATTAAATATTAAAATAAGTATATTTGAAAAAAATGCTATACTTAACTGGTTTGGAAATTTTTTCTAACTTTTTTAATATAGATTATCCTTTGAATGCTAAATAGAAAAATGTGATAATTGTAGAAATGTGAGACCTGCTGCGTTGGTTTCCATATATTTAGAGATAAAATAGTTAAGCCTTCCACACTAATTTGTTACTATCTGACTCTATTGATACTAAAAGACAAACTAGTGATAATTAAAGAAATAATAGAGAAAAATTATGAAAAAAAATTATAAAAAGTAGCCAATCAGAAAAGAAATTAGCCCACTAGAGAGAAATCTTCCATCCATATTAATCAATTATTTAGTATTTTAATCTCTCATTTTTTTAGCAAAAATTACTTGAGCAGTCACTCTGTGAGGTACTATGTTAAGCACCAAATTGTGATTTGCAAAAGCCATTTCTATTTAAAATAGTAAATACAAAAATAAATTACCTTTCCATATTTAGGATGGATGAAGTGATACAGTTTTTCAAAATGAACAATTATAAAAAACGTGATACTGTTTAAAATAATCAGTTTAAAGTCAAATATATCTGTGCATAAAGGTAGAAGAGATTTTTGTATACAGAATCTATAAAGTACATTTTTATGTTAATCTAACTAATAAAGATGGATAAATTGGCATTTTGTCAGGTTATATTACATGGGAAATAAATCTTGGCTTAGAGTGTACTGTCAGGCTCCATGACAGAGTTGAAATCATTTATGACCACAACAAATCTACAGTGTCTAGTATCTTTCCCTAGTTCCAGGTGAAAATCAGCATCTAAGAGTAGAATTTAATGATAAATTTAAATTGCTTAATTTTTTCATTCTTTAACACAAAACCCTAATAGTTATTATTGATATAATGAGAGTTTTAGGAGTTATACTATCTATATCTGTAACTTTTTTCAGCCCTCTTCAATAAAAACACATGCAAAAACAAAAACAAAAACCAAAAAACATCCTTTCTTTTGCCTTTCTATTAATACCAGATGATAACTAAAACTCCACCGAGAAGATTAGAAACCAAAATTTATTTATTTCTTAAAGTCAGTATGATCTTAAGTGATTGTAGAATTGTATAGATATAGATATAATAAATATGAATATATTTAGCTAAATTGTAAATGCCTGAGGAAAACATTTTAGCAGTCCAATGGAAAAAGAAAAATGTATATGCCTAAAATTCAACAATTTTTCATGTGAAAACATAATCATTCTTTTAAAATCATTTATTCATAGAAAATATGTACATATCTAGATCAAGTCTCTTCTCATTATATATCTATAATACATATTGAAACATTACATGCAATGAATATACTAATATATGATAACTCAAATATATTGTGAGCAAAAAGGATTTTTAAAAATGTGAATAGCTTAATAAAATATAATTTTCTTAGCTATATTTACTGTGAAGTTTTCAATTCATCGTGAAAAAAATTTCTGCTCATTAACATAATATTAAATTATTACATTGATCAATATTTCAGGTCATGACCCCTGGATTTAAAGAAATCCTTCAAGACAATGTCAAATATGACCCAAGAGAAAATGTGATTTGAGTATGGAGACACTTGTGCATGTAAGTATTGGGAAATTAGATTTTCTCATGGTAAAATGTAATAAAAACTAAAATATCAACTCATTAATTTCTGAATTGCAGAAACTTTGATTCATTGTTTTCTGCCTATTACAACACTATTTCTTTATATTTATCATTAATGCAATGCTTCCTGATTTTTTTTTCTTATGTTTTTCTTAAAATCACCTAATAGTAAGAACCCAGGATAGCTGATAGAAGAAAAACGATATTCAGAAATTGCTGTGATTAAAAAGAAAAGCTGCTTCTAGGTGAGTCATGGGTGAGGGCAAGCAATGGCATGGAGTGCATGTGCTTATTAATGTGTGCTCTCATCGCATGTGATAACACAAATAATAAGCGAAACATGTGAACATGTGGAAAAGGTTTTTAAAATTCTTCTTCTGAAGCCCAATAATAAAAATCATGACTAGTTTCCTAATGGAATTAAATCTTAAGTTCATAGTTCAATGGCAAATATCCATTGACTGGAATTTTTTTCTCCTTTGAAAAATATGATTTATATATTCAGTTAAATAAATATTATATTCTATGGATATACCATGATAATTTATATCTCACAAAAATGAGTATGTCAGAGTAGATTGCTCCTGGACTTTACAGAGAGTAAACACGAGGAGCTACACCACAGAAATGTGTGCCTCTTAGAATTGAGAAGCTAGTAAGTGGCATTTTAGAGGCCACTTTTCATTAGCTCAGAATTGTGTCTGTCATTAGAAATACATAAACAAAAATATTTTTATTGATTTGTCCATATCCTGTAACCTTATTTCAATAATGTAGATAACTCAGCGAATCTTTTATTTCCTGATTAATAAAATAATCGATTTCCTGTAATGCAGAATAATTTCTATTAAATTATAAGGACATTTTTATGATATATGGATGTCGATTCTCTAGAAATTGGCCTGAGAACAATTTTCCCTCTTAAATTACTGAAGAATCAGAAAAATAAAAATGAGATTAATCCTTATAGAAAATAAAGATAAGGTTTAGAGTAAAATATGCTATCAAAATTTGTGTTAATATTTTCATGTAAAGCTCTTTATTTTTAGTATTTTAATCACTTTATCCCAATTTTGGTAAAGGCAAAGAAAGCAAGATGTTTTCTAATTACTTAAAATATATAGGTAAGAAGCTTTTCTGTTAAGTCTAATTAAATTAAATTAAAATGTATTTTATTAAGCTCTTTAGTACTATAAGCCATGATGTTTTTATTTTTAAACATTTGTTATACATATGACTATCAAATCCTTAAAGTAAAATTAATGTGTAGTTTTAAAAGAAATTTTCTGTTGAGAACCATCTACGTTTATTTCATAAATATTGATGAATTATATTTCTTTCATTTTCTATTGCAGTTCGATTTTTATTATATAGCATATTTCATTTTGTCTTTAATGATGGAGAAAAAGCGTATCCTGTATTTTCTGTTGCTCTTGCATTTTTTTATGGTAAGCATAATTCCCTCCAATTTATCTCCTTATATATGATTATTTTTATTTTTGCTTTCAATATACCTATAATAGATAAAGGTTAATAACAACAAAATTAAAGCAGTTATTGGATGTATAAATTAATTGCATTTTTATATCCAATCAACATGGATTTGTGTATCATTTAGTCTTATAACAGGTATAGGAGGATGGGGCAGTGTGTGGGGGAGGTCAGAATGGGGAAGATCAATGTATACAAATGTGCAAAACAGAGGAAAGTAATTATCAGAGTTTGAAAAAAAATAGAATGACTCTATAGTACAGTAGTACATATTAGATGAAATATCTTCAGCCAGACTTGACGATTCTAAGTTCGATCTGTTAAAAAAGCAGATTACAACCCATTGATTTTTCTCCCATTCTGCCAATCGATTGACATGTATTGATTGAAAGGCACTTCAGAACCATGCAGTGTATTTCAAATTAATTTTCTCATCCATCTATTCCCATATGTAGGCATTGATGCTTAATTTGGGACAGGTGTGTGAGTGAGTGTGCACGTGAGTGTGCACATCTGCGTGTACATATTGGGGATGTGGGGCAGAGGTGAAAGGTAGACAAAAGACCAGAAATCAATTGCTCTGCTGGAGGAGTCATACGCCTCCTACATTTGATTTAATTTTTATTTATAGAAATGTTCTATTTATACTTTTCTCTGCCTCAAATTAAAACAGTGACTATGATCTGATCTCATTATATGTATGAGAAACTGGGAGACCTAATCTGATCTAATTCTATGCCAGCAAAGAGCTTTCCTGTGGTGTTTCCAAGCAAACCCCACAAAGATTGAAATTTAAAAAACTCAGGAAAAATACACCAAAACCTAAATGAGAGAAAAAAAACAAACCCCCAAACAAGACTACATTCCTGTCAGCATTTGTATTTGAAAACATTCTCAAGTCTAGGAGAAAAAAACTCAGGAAAAATACACCAAAACCTAAATGAGAGAAAAAAAACAACCCCCCAAACAAGACTACATTCCTGTCAGCATTTGTATTTGAAAACATTCTCAAGTCTAGGAGCCGTCCAAATTCTGCACTTCTTAGATGTTATCTTTAAATTGATTCACATTTGAGAACCAGGACTCCTTTCACTTCAGTTCACACCCTCCAGTGAGTGTTCCAGGTTGCTGCACAGGCTCACTGCTTTCCTGGGACAGTTTACCAATCTGATTACTGTACTTTAAGGCATTATGACTCTTTTCTTTTGAATTCAAGCGAGACAGTGTGTAAATTTGGGTCTTTGTTCCAAGTGGAATAAAAATGATACTGATTTATGCAATTCTACAGTCTTCCTGATGAGAATGAGAGGTATGTTGTTTCTAAAAATACTAATTTCCTTGATATTCTAAATTTCCATTTATTACTTCTGCAGCACAACCTCTCCATAATTCTGTGTTAGGAAATTAAAACCAAAGAATGAAGCAACTAATTTAAATGTTGTGATTTGATGGTGAAATTTGAATGGTATTACACAGTGACAGAATATTACTATTTTGATTTTACTAAGTTCAATTTCCTGCTAGAAAAGAAAAAAATCAAGAATGGGAGGACAAAAGAAGAGTGGGAAGGTAACTGCTTATGGAGGATAGTTAATAGAAGTAATGCAAAAACGGAAAAGATACAGACTGAAGAAAAGTTTATTTAGGCTTTATATTATCAATCAAGAAAAAAGTCACGTACAAATTAAAGTAGAATCGAAGCTTAAAATAGTGCTACTAAATTGGAAGAACATAAATATATAACTTGTGCAAAATCTTTATTGATGTGCACACAATAAAATAAAAAAATAAAAATATTTAGCAGCATCATAAATGATTTTATCATTATTTTGATTATCAAAATATCATAACAATGACAAAAAAATTTGAGTACTTTTCATGTGCCAGGTATATCCCCTCTGTTATCTTGATGCTATTTTACTCTATTTTACAATAAGAAAGCAGGCTTGGGGGTGTGGGGGGACAATAAATATCTAGCCTACATTCACAGAACACGTAAAAAAAGTTGAGGTGAATTTTAAATACAGCTCTATTTCCAGAAAACATGTTTAGAGATATCCTGGAGCAGGCTACCATAGGCTTCTGAGAGCTAATTATGCTTACCAACTCTGCAGTTGGTGAGGTCTCCTTGGTCATTTGAAATTGGTCGTGGGGGGATATTTATAACATGGAAACTGACAAATACTGCAAATCGGAGATTTTTGCCTGGAGAGTTAGTTTACCATTTAGTACATCATTGCATTTGCTGTTTTCCACTGTGACAGACTGCCTCTGACAATGACATTTTCACAATTCTGAAGTTGTTTTGTTTTTATTCCCTTAGATTCTTGTCACAGCAGCAGAAAGGGAAAGTGAGAGCCCTGATGACTCAATTCAGTTAGGGGTTACTAGATATAAAATTATGACAGCGCAGTATGAATGTTACCAAAAAATTATGCAAGATCCTATTCAACAAACAGAAGGTAAATGTGACTTTTTAATTCTAAAAGCCTTTGACATGTTTAAAAGAAAACTACCCTATTATATCATTATTTGTTCCTTAGGTCCATTATTAGAAGTGAGTTAGTTGGTAGTTTTCTGGTATATGTGAAGTTTTAATTATTGACTTTTGAACAACATTTATGAAATAATTTATCTTGTTCCTTTTTTAAAAGTTTAATAAAAAATGTATGACAGTGATCTGTTTAGTATTCTTTTTACGGTGTAAAGATATTTAAAATATATAATACGTATTAATATTAACACGATACAATTCTTTAATTAAATCGGTGACAGTTAACCTTCGGTTCATGTAATTTGTATTTTTTTTTTTACACCACTGCCTTGTTAGGAGCTTGCATAATAAGATGATAAATACCAAAGTTTATGTTTTGCATAATCCATATACTTTGCATAGTACACTTGGAAACAAGGCTAAAGTCTAAGTCCTTCTGTTTCCATTAACACATTCTTTTGCTTTTTTTGTAATTTTATTGAGGGCCTGCTAAGCACCAGGCATTTGCCTCGATTCTGAAATTTAAAGACGAGTAACACAAGTGGAGTTGCCAAATATAGCAAAAACAGAAACAAATCCTATATTTTATCTCACAATCCTAAATAAGGGGTTATCTTAAAAATATAAAATGCAAACCTGACAGTGAAACAAAGCAAAATGTAAGGACTCTTTAGTTATTTCTTTTTTTTAAACCATCAGAGGAAACCAAGATCTTAAAATCTGGGGAAAAATATTTATAGTAGAACATACAATGTTTGTATTAAATGAAATGTTAAAGGTAGAATATTAATATTTGTAACTGTTAATTGGACAGCTTTTAGCCTCCTAATTTAAATAAACAATATAATTTATTAATCTTTGGAGAAGAATTTAGATATTATATCTGCCCCAATATTACTGTTATATTTATGTAGTTAAAAGTATATTTTCTAATATGTCAGACAATGACAAATTATCTGATTCAGGTCAATAGGGGGTGAATTATCAGTAATTAAAATATTTACATACATATTCTGTGTTAACTGATCCAGCTTCTCACTTTATTCCATTAAAATCTAGATGTCATTAGCTTGAAACCATTGAACTAACCCCCTGCAAATCATGTAGATATATGTAAAAGTAGGTTTTAAATTTAATTATTGAACAATAGGAATATCTTTGTAAAGGTTTCATAATAAAATAATCCTGTGGTAAAATGAGTTCAGGATCACTGCATAATACGTCTTCTTGGAGCTTCATAGTGCACTTCGTAATTTTAAATACCCCAGGAAGTCTTGTAATAAAGAACTATCTTTATTTTAACTTCATATTTCTGAGATCCATTTGGTTACAGAATATCTTTTAATAAAATACCTTCTCATATCTCACTCAAATGCCATAAAACACAATTTGAAAAATTCTGGGCCTTGCAATCTATCAAGTGTTGTAGTTAATTAGAGTCTATCTAATGGAGCAGTGATATGGATATGTTTGAGATGCTTTCTAAAACTATACCAAGAAAATTTTCTTTGGTAGGTCACAAAGTGTATTTCATCTAGTGATATATGGATTCAAATTATTTAAATAATTGTTTGAAAATCAGAGGAAAGAAAACTGAGATGATCTGAGGTGCTTTTGTTGTGTTTTCTTTATATTAATATTATTTACACTTGCAGTCTATCAGAATTTTTTTTTTTTTTTACTTTTGTGAGGGCTACATTAATTCTGAGATGGCTGTCCAAATCTGTTAGAAGTAATAAATGTCTCATGGAGCGTTCAGTGTTCTATCTAGACCTGACAAGTTATATAACTATCTTTGATTTCAGATTGTTATAACACTGGAACATTGATTGGTTAACTTATCTATGCCCTTAGAAAAAACTTTATAATATATATATATGTAATTAAAACTTCACATTTTTTAACATAAGAGGCTTTTTCTCTTCATGCTGGAGAAAAATGTGAAATTATTAAACATTCTACCCCATTTGAAAAGAAAAGGAAAGACAACCTAGAATTTAATGTTTGGGCCTAAGTAAGTATACTTCAGAGTTATTATGGTGAAATAGGAAATATAGAACTATTCATTTGCTGCAGAAAATACTAACACCTTGACCTAAGCATACAGTTTCTCAAGCAAAACATGTTTCCAATTTCCTATGTTTGAATTTCAAGTATCCAATTTTTGAATTGCAAGTACAGAGCCACTAATTAATCCCTACCTTATGGTTAAGGACAACCAGCAAAGTCCACTTGATATACTGAACAAATAGCTATCTTTGAGAATTAGAATGAAATCAGAACTTTATATATAGAGAGATAGATATAGATATTTCTAAATTTAAAAGTTTGAAACTAGTTATTCTAATAATTACTTGGTAAAAAAGCAAAATAATTTCTACAAATTTTATGTGACATGTTTATTTTTAGTAGATAGCCTTTATTCCGTGTCAGTGCGAAACCATCCCTAATACTTATATCTTTATGTATAACTAAAGAGAGTTAGTTATCTCTGATTTTGGCTTCCCCCTTAAGGCGTTTACTGCAACAGAACCTGGGATGGATGGCTGTGTTGGAATGATGTTGCGGCAGGAACGGAATCAATGCAGCTCTGCCCTGATTACTTTCAGGACTTGTCTTTATGTATAACTAAAGAGAGTTAGTTATCTCTGATTTTGGCTTCCCCCTTAAGGCGTTTACTGCAACAGAACCTGGGATGGATGGCTGTGCTGGAATGATGTTGCGGCAGGAACGGAATCAATGCAGCTCTGCCCTGATTACTTTCAGGACTTCGATCCTTCAGGTAAAAGATGAAATTTATCTACAAATCTCCTTGGCATCTATTTAATAAACCCCAGTTAATCAAATTACAGGATTTTTTTCCTTTTTAATTTTAAAGAAAAAGTTACAAAGATCTGTGACCGAGATGGAAACTGGTTTAGACATCCAGCAAGCAACAGAACATGGACAAATTATACTCAGTGCAATGTTAACACACATGAGAAAGTGAAGGTATGTAATAATTAGGAATTGAAATTTAATTTACACCATCTATTTGAACAGTTGTCCAATAAAGTATTGGAGAACATTTAGTCAGTGCTTTATTCCATTGTAATATTTTCATGATAAAGGTTGAGGAGAACAATCAAGAAAAGTATCTGTGAAAATAATTATTATCGATTCTGTCATTACATTGAGGAAGCAATCCTATTAGTATATTCACAAGTCAATGTCTCAGTATTGGGGTTTCCAATTTTCTAAAGAAAACATATCTTGAAAGTATAAGAAAAGAGAAAACTTTCATTGGTGGTGGAATTTCTAGAATTCCCCCTGAAATTGTGCTAAAGTAAAAAGGATAAGCCCAACAAGATTTAAATAGTCTACCTGTTCCTCAGTGGAAAGCTTTTGTTCTGAGTGGGTGTTAGGCCACTCTCAGTCACATTCCCATTTTTAACACCACATGTTAAAGTCAAGGTAAATCACAGTTTGTCACAATAATACAGCATTGATAGAAAATGCCTGCATATATTTGCACATGTGTGTTTATAGAGGCAATTTGTTACGGTGATTAAAACGGTGAGTCCTGATATCTGAACTACTGTTTCTGCCCCTTACCTGCTTTGTGACCTTGAGCAATCATTTAGTGTCTCTCTGCCTTAGTCCTCTCACGTGTAAAATGGGGATACCCATAGATTCTACTCTCGTGGTTTTCATAAGGATTGACATAATATAAGGAAAATACTTAGAAGAATAGCATACAGGAAGCACCTGATAACTGCAGCTATTTTTATATTTGTAAGTCATATAGTCCTGCTTATTCAGAGAAGGGTTTGAAGAGAATTATAAAAATATACCAATAAAATAAAGTTTACAAATAAATAAAATACAGACAAAAATAAAAGAGAAAAAGCCAAAACCAGGAGAAAGTTGGAACATATTTGTACAGATCCTACAAAGTTAGGATCTTACAAGTTACCATATTGAGATTTGTCTCTGGGCCTCAAATTTGTCAAAGTTAAAAGAGAAATCCAGCTGGGAAAGAAAGTCTTACCCGATGTTTAAGTCTGAACGAAACAAATCATCATGTAGCATTTGATTTAAGGTGAACACAATATAAAATGCTGGTTTCATATATCATATAAGATAGATCAATAAATACATTACTTATTAGATTTACTATATGACTTATAATTTCTTAAACAAAAGGGTATATAATTTATAAATTTTGATAAGTCATTTGATAAATTTGCATAGATATTCTTCGTTCCAGATGTATTCAGGTATTTATTTGTTTGCAAGCTGATTATTGTAAGGCTATCAGATCACATTTGTAAAAACAGAATTTATTCAATTGAGCTTCTAAACATGCAGGATTATAGATACTTATAGTGTTGATATGAGCCTAATTTTTTTTATTTATACAAATTATAGACTGCACTGAATTTGTTTTACCTGACTATAATCGGACACGGATTATCTATTGCATCACTTCTTATTTCACTGGGCATATTTTTTTATTTCAAGTAAGTACATAATTTTTTTTTAAGTTTACTAATTGTCTCTGGTGAATGCAATCTCATGTGCAAGTTTATGTCACGTGCTGGAAAAATATACAAAATGTAGATGACATAATTTTTAAAATAAGTTGGATGTTTAAAATAAGTTGAAATGAGTTGAACTTTTTCTAACATATGTGGAGAGGAGATTGATGAAATACTTTAAGCCCAATTTTACAGAACTAGTAGGCATAAAAGAACAAAATCATGTAATAAGAAGGGAGTCAAACCAATACGTAAACCAAACTGTATTTGCTTTAGAAACCATCAAACATTATAGGTCGTCTTAATTGAGTGTTCCACTTTTTGTTCAATTTTAATGTCACTATGCATGCGCATTATAGGAACTAGAATTTTGTGTGAATAATAGCAATGGCATTTAATATATATTTTTGAAAACATAATCTGAATATATTATAGGTAGGTTTTTTTCCCTGGGTTGGAGGGTCATCTTTAAAAAGGTTATACTATGTTTTCAATTTTACTTGTAATTTATTCCTTTTTGAGGGGGAGAGTTGGCACTAATTTCTTTAATTATTCCATCAATAAGTAATTTTTGAATTTATAGGAAAGCAAAATTCAAAACGTGCATGCAATATTTTATGCCTTAACATGGTTTTCATAATTGTGATCACTACCAGTAATTGTGGCATGCATCATGACAAGAGAAATTATTATACTTTATTGTATCTTCATCACCATTGTTGTGATCCTCCTCTTCTTCCTCTCCTCTGCCTCCTCTTCTTTCTTCCTCTTTTGCTTTTTAAGCATCAATACTCATCTTGGAGCATTTGTAGCTACAGAACTATCTGGAATAGCAGAACATTAAAATAATCCGAATTTAGATATTATCAGACAGTTGGATTTTTGTTATGTGTGCAACAGAGCACCAGGTTTTAGCCCATTGTTTATCCAATATTCAGAGTATATCAAATAAAAAAACAACCAATCAACCATTAGCTCTCATGGGCTCAAAATCATGGCATCTAGAGACTGCATCAGAATTGCCTTTATATTTTTTTTGGAAACTTGCAGCTTCTTAAGAATCCTCAACATCAGTTCTTTTGTGGAATCTACAAAAATGCTTTTTAACAGCACCTTTGTTTTATGACATTATCTAGGCACCATTAGAAACTGACAAAAATCTGGTCTGACTAAAGCTAATTAAACATTTGTGAACATGTTTAAATGTAACATTTTCTTTAATAAATTGCATAAAATTGTATCAAAATTAGTTGAAAAGTTTTTATCTTAAATATGAAAAATGCTTCTTAAAGAATTAAATTTACTATACTATAGTTTACAAGTTATCCAAAGTTTCTTGCTAAAAACAAACTGCTAGTTCTCAGTCACTGCCTTTATAATTAGTTATGTCACATCAGTTGCTATGGACAGCCTAACTTTACTCTTGAATATATTATTAGCCTTCACAAGTTTTTTTAAATGAATGCTATATTTGGAATATGGAAACTTCACTATACTATACTTGCCTAATAGATTTAAAATGTTGAATCTAAAGAATGGAAAATAATCAATTTTCCAAAGTGACAAGTTTTAAACAAAATTCTCAAGTCCACAATGATATATTATTAATACTAATTGACAAAGTAAAACTATGTTGTTGATGCTAATAAACTTATTTGAAAAAATATGGCAATAAAATTGGGTTAATATTTAATTTAGTGAATTTAAGGACACAAAATGGAATTAAAATTTCAAATTCTTACTTAGCATGATGAAATGGGTAAACAGTTCAAGATATAGTTTATGTTTTCCTTTATTCCTGAAAACAAAATCTTTATAATTTAAAAATATAAGGTGTCTAAATTTGAAAATATGATTCTCTTGACTCTTGGAATTGATACATTAAAATGACACAACTAACTGCCCTAAAATCTATGCAGTATTCTAGAACTCAGATTTTTAGTTCATGAAAATTACATTTCTGTCACATATACAAACACATGCATCAATTTAAATGTAACTAATATTGGCTAAAAAAAAAAAAAAAAGATTTTTCTTAACCTGAAGACCCTTATAACCATAACAGAGTATAAAGTAGATTAGTCTCTACCTTAATGGCATAAAATATAAATCATAAGGGTTTGAAGACTGTCTTACAAATCTTGGGGAAAAAAGTTACAAGTTTTAAATCTTTCAAACTTAAAGAAAAAGAATGCAACCCTTAATTAAAAACAAACTAATAAACTCCAGTCTTGAGAAACAAGATTTACTCTTAAATTTATAATACTCTTTAAAAATAGAAAACAATATAAGCATGTTACTAATTTTTAAAGAAAGAAAATATATAAATATGCCTATAATTCTACATCCTATAAAGCAATTTCTTATATTTTTTCAGTTTTATTTTATATTCATTTGTTTTTGCAGTTTTTATTGTAGTATATTTACCTATTTTATCTTAGCATTATATAATTTGTGTTTTATATGCCACTAGTTCTTAAAACAACCATTTAAGTGGCTAAATAATATTCCAGTTAGTGGGTTTACAAAAGTTTATTAAATTATTTCTCCATTTTTGAACATTAGCTTTACTTCCATTTTTTTCTATTAATAAAAAACACTGCAATGGACATTTTCAGCCATAACTTTTCCCATATTTTGCACTATTGTTTTAGGCTACATTCCCAGAGTCTTGGGATATCTTGGTCAAAGGGTATATATAATTTTATGGCTCTTGAAACACATCATCTGAAAAGCATCTCAAAATCAACATGTTCAGAAAAAGTCATAATATCTAACCTCTCCTAACCCAAAGCCAGTTTTCTTCCAGAGTGACCCATCTTCTTGAATGATATCACCAGTCATCTGTGACATTTTTCCTCTCCTTTTTCCTTCCTAACATTCTTTCCCTATACCTTCTGGATTGAACCTGTTGAAATCCCTCCATTCTATCCAGTTTGCTTCAGCTCTGCTGCCATCACCTCCAGTCTTGTCCTTTCTAGCCTTAGTAAATCTAATCTTGCTCTTCATTCAATTCTAAACAAGGCAGATGGAATAGTATTTTAAAGATCTTGATCAAATATAGATCTGATTTTGTCATCATTTGCTTTAAAAATTTTAGACTTGTCATAATTCATATAAAATCATTATCATTAACATACTCTGTTGTTTGCCTCTTCCCTGGCCTAGTTAAATGTATTCATCTTTCATGCTGAACTTTAGCATCACTTCCTCAGTGAAATCTTCCTGAATTCCTTACTGTAGTATTTCTGAAACTGCAATTAATTACAGTGGACATGGGGTAAAATTTTAATTACTATTTGGGGGACCAACATCTCTACAAATTAAAAACTAACACAGCTGAGTCTCTTCAGATATTATATTTATTTTTTTTGATTTTGCATGTGATAAGCCAAAATATCTAAACAAATTAAATTTCTGCAGGAGATAAAGTTAACAAATATAGCAATTATGTTGCTTGCCAAAACCAGTAGTCAGAAAAAAAAAAATGATCTCTTAGAATTTCATATCTTATGGCCCCAAACAAGTTGGAATTTAGCAAAGATATAAGCAAAGCCCTGCACCAGTTCCATAAAATCAAATGCAAAATTAACAAAGCTTCTTCATGCGAAAGAGCCCAAGATTTAAGATTTAATGGAACAAATGCTCACAGTGAATTAATGAGGCAATAGTGGGGCTGTCAAGCGAAAACCATGCAGCCAGCCAGACTATACCAATAAATGTACAGTATTTAATTATAAAGCTCTGATCAGATCACTCATTCACCAGGTTCATTATGTAAGAGGAAAACAGGATGCCATAAGAATGGGCTTATCAGGATGGTGAAGGAATTGAAGAACATAACATCAGCTACTCAGGGTATCAAAATACCAAGAATGTTAGGCTAGAAAAAGACAAAATATGGGGGCACAATATATGACTTGGAGAAACTAAATGATTATAATTGGGAATAGAGTTTATATAATAACCTAGACGAAAAATATATTTGGCTCAATTAAAAAAACAAAAAACAAACAGCCAAACAGCTAATGTAATGAACCACTATTTGACCTTCCTGTTACTGAAGGTTTTCAGACAGAAATTAGATGTCACCCTCTCAGGAATGTCAAAGTGGGTGATCCCTGAACTGGTTCATAGATGGACCTGAGGATCTCTAATGCTTCTTCCAAGCCCAAGAACCTATGAATGAAACAGTAATTTAATAAAGAGGATTAGAATAAATGATTTTAAAAAAATCAGTATCAGGAAAGTTAGTATTTATGAAAGTATTTTGTAAGCTAAAAGTAATTTACACACATAAACTAAATTTGTTATAATTAGGAGCTGAAAGAAAATCTGGCTTATATTTTTATATAAATTTATATTTATATTTATATTTATGTATGTTTATTCAAAAAGGAAATACTATTCAACCAATATTCTCAAGTAATTTTAATTTTTTATTTACTTATTTTTTATTTTGTTAATATACAATGTGGTTGATTATTGTGGCCCATTACCGAGACCTCCCTCCCACCTCCCTCTCCTCCCTCCCTCCCAACAATGTCCTTTCTGTTTG